AGACCAAAAAAAGTAGTTTCGCTTTCACAACGAAACACACAGCGTCACACACGGCGGCCTAGAGTGAGTGGCGCCCGGCGGGCTTGAGAACGGCGCGGCAGGCGGTCTTGCGGCAACCACATGTGACGACCCCGGGCTGGACTCTGCTTCGTCCACGGTGAAAGCTGATCCAGCGATCCACAGTGCGAAGTTGATGTATTTCCTCAGCGACCACCATGGATCAGCTCCAGGCAAACTTTACAGATCTTCTTTATGCACCAAGAGCTGCATCAAGAGATATTGAAATCGCATCATATGACCCCTTTAATGTTCATTGTGGTGTCACTAATCTCATGGTAACTGAGGGCCTAATTAATCTTAATGTCACGATGTTTAGTGTGTTGTCTTAAAAAAATCATCCTAAAGATGTGAATTTTAAGATTAAATTAAATTAAAATTAATCTTGTTTAATGTTTTCGATTCTTGTGCACCCCCTCAATTATTAATATATAACTATATTCAAATTTAAAACCTTGTTTTTACACATTTAATTTTATGTATGTTGACTTTTGTTATGCACTTATTTACAGCAATGGATTGATATAAGCTGAAAAGCATGTTGTTCTTGTATAGTCTCCACTGTGGTTTGCTGTGCTGCATGGAAATGCTCCAGTCACTCACAGAAATTAGTATGCATGTATGGTTTCCCGAATGACGCAGAGAGGAGGAAAAAAATGATGCATCAAGTTTGATTAAATTCACATTTATTTATATAACACTTTTTATTATACACAATGTTTCAAAGCAGCTTTACAGAAAATTGGGCAGTTTTGAATGTTTATTCAGAGTTGGCGTCATCTCTTCTCAGGTGCTGGTCATCTGAAGTCTTTGTTAGTGGCTGGATAAGTCAGCAGGAGTAATCTAAATATAGCTATAGGTTACAACTACAAAATGATGTAACCATACTTGGGAATTTACACTTTTTCACGAAGACGCAAGGAACAGTGAAAGACTTGCAAAACCCAGTGAGCTGAGACTCTGTGAGTGTGACGTCTCATTACAGGAATCTTCTGGTGGTTCTTGTTCTGAAAGCAAGATAGAGAAGGGAAAAACACAGGAGAAACGATTAAGTGATGCTTCATCACATATCAGTCCCGTGGCATCACCGCTCCTCCACCACACTGTGCTTCTACAGTAGCTAAGACATTTAAGTATAAAATACAGTAATAAAGTACAGCTTTACTGTGATTACTTCTATAATACAGTAGTGGTATATAATACATTTTTGGGTAATTTAGCCTAGTATGGTTCTGAATTGAAAACTGCTCGCCTATTTTAAACTTTTTTCATTCTCACTTAGGTGCATCAGAGCATCCTTTGCAATCAATCCAATTCTACCATTTAACTCCCCACCCTGCAAAAATCACATTTAAAAGCCTTAATTACACAACAATGGATGAAACTGCATTAAGAGAATGAATAATGTCCTCTAAATCTACTAATTAAGTGGGCAATAATCTACTAGAATGTTTTTATGCACAAGGTAATTTGATTAGCTGTGCTGATAATATGCAATTTTATTCTCTAAATGTCTTACCTTTTAAAAGTTCATCACAGTGGACTCTTTTGCTGCATCTCTACAGCGCTGATAGTATTTGGCGCGAACTTCCGGGAACTATTGAGAGGCTCCATGATCCGCCATTGCTGTAAAAAACTTGTCCATTGGAGTGAATGGAGATGATGCGACTCTCTCTCTCAATTGCTCTGAATAGACTATTCCTTATGTTTCATACCTGTTCCTTATATTTTAAAGCAAAGATGTATTGGTGTTGCCATGTTGTTTGTACATGATTAATTAATAATAAAAAAAAACTATTCCTAAGTTCACGACTTAACAATTGCTGTTGAAAGTGACCAATCACAGGAACAGAAACATCTGACACTTGCTCCCCGCCTCCAAAGTCTCAAAAGTCAAATTGACGTGTGTTGAGGGGTTGAGCAGTTGAGAGGGCATAGAGCACATAGATATGTGTAGGTAGATGCCTCATTCGACAGCTCCAAGCACATAGACGCGTCTGCCATCTTTAACGGTCAACTTGACGTCATTCACCAATGAATATTCGAAGATGCCACAATCCTGCACAGCCGATGGTTGTAAAAACCCGAAGAAACAGGACAACCTTTCACAGGTGAGAATGCAAGAGAGGGGCGGAACCATAGATATGTAAGGACTGTGGCATTTTCGAATATTCATTGATTATTATGGTGAATGATGTTAAGTTGACCCTTCCAATATAGCAGATGGCTTACGAATAGCAGCCCATAGAAACAGTCGCTAATGAGGCATCTATGTATTCATATCTATGGTAGAGCAGGTCAAGCAAGCTGTTCTCGCGAGAGTGCATTTTTTGCGTGCGGATAATGTTCTGCCCTCGCAGTGCAGAAATGCTCCCTTGCAAGTGCGGTTTTTAAGTGTGCTACTTTTGAAACAGTTTAATCGCCATACAAGTCAGCAGTTGCTCATTATTGAGTCAAAAAAAGGAAATCAAGGAACACAAAATTAAAACCGTAGCTCCTGACGATATATTGAGGTCTTATGAAGTGAAATGATCAGTCTGTGCAAGAAACTGAACATTATTTACTACATTATAACCTGTATTCCAGATCCTCAGGCGAACAGGACATCTGATTCTTTTCTGTGAACTGCATGGTTCTTTTGGACAGTTCATTTCAGTTCATTTGCGTAATCATGCAATTACGTAACGTATACACGATTATATTATTAAAGCACCCAATAATGATATGAAATGCGGATGTTTTACATGTCTAAAGCATATAAAGTGAATTAACTAGTCTTCATCAGCTCATCTGTTTACATAAACAATGAGAAACCATAAAAACGTTCATTTCACACCTTCATCAAGTGTTCGGTTCACGCATGCTCATATCAGCAGCTCATCGGTCTTCGGTCTGAGTCGAACGGTTTTCTCAGTTCAGTGACTGCTGGAGAAACTGGAATGATTCATTCATCATAGGATCAGATACGTCTCTATTTCTGCTCATTTCCAGTCAGAAATGCGAGTCTGAAAGCAAGTTTGATCTGATTTGAACTGGTTCAATCCAGTTAATTAAAAATAATGATTCGTTTGTGAACGGGACATCACTCCGAACCATTTGTCTGAGGCTCTGGATTACAGGTGATAATGTATTAAATAATGTTCAGTTTCTTGCACAGACTGATCATTTCGCTTCATAAGACCTCAATACATCGTCAGGAGTCACAGGGATTCATTCTGTGTTGCCTGATATGATTTTTTGACTCTTAAAATGCCTGTAGCCATTGACTTGCATTTTATGAATCACCAAGCACCATGGTTTCAGCTAAAAATCTTCTTTCAAAATCTCTGTTCTACTGAAGAAGAAAGTCACCTACATCTTGGATGACCCGAGGCCGAGAGTGAGTATTTTCATTTTTGGTGAACTTGATCTCAAATTTGAGCTAAAGAAAGAAGTCCAAAATAACTTACTTTGCCAAAACGGCTTGAACATCACCTCAGCCAGGCACTGTCCACTGGCGCTGACCTTGGCATGATATTTAGAGGTCACATCGCTCATCACATGGGTCATCACATCCGTCATGTCACAAACAGGAGTGGAGATGTTCTGAAAACTTAAAGTAAATATTATTTCTAGCAAAAAAAGAAAAACATAAATATACAAAATTAAAAACAAAACTAATTTATATAAATTTGTTAAATTAAATACTGAATTATTGTAAAATAATTATAACATGAATATTATTTATATCATTTTAGAAATAATCTATAAAAATAAATAGTATATAAGAAATATGTGACCCTGGACCACAAAACCAGTCATAAGGGTCAATTTTTCTAAATTGAGATTTGTACATCATCTGAAAGCTGAATAAATAAGTTTTCCATTGATGTATGGTATAGCACCACGTCACCGGTTCATACGGTTTCCCATAACTGCAAAAGAACAGAGCTCAGTCAGAAGAACGACACAAACACTCAAGAACAACTCCCAGACTCTATGAATCATCACCCATTTAATGTTTAACCCATTTGGTTTAATTATAGTCACAGTGAGCGCACACAGAAACTATTTTAAATTGACCAGACTAACCAGATTCTAACTATACTAGTTCTCCTTCTCTTCATGTGGCATATCATTACACACCCTGTTTATTGTGTGCATGTATCATATCATGTGTTACATCTGCAGGTTCATTGTTATCTTTGGAACAACTCATCAAGTCATAAATATAGTCATACTCATATCAAGTCATAAAGTCAATAAATGCAAATTCTCTGTGTAATTACCTTAATCACGAGTTTGTAATGCGCAAAAATGGTTTGTTTTTGTTGAACTTGTTCAATTACACGTAAAAATATAAATGGCAGCCATTTCAACAATAAAAAGCAGCTAACTAGCAACTGCTATATATATTTTTTAATTTATATTTCAAATAATTTTACAAATATCTAAAAAATAAATACGTATATACATATATATATATATATATATATATATAGACACACACACACACAGTTAAGTTTTATATACATACGAAGTTAAAACAAAATAAATAAGAATTAAGATTAAGAAAATAAATATTTCCTAAAAATATAAA